TAGAGTAAGATTATATCCTTTTTTGGGGGTATAGTATTTTATATCAGGAATATTTTCTTACTAGGTTCAACCACAAAAAAAACACTACTCAGGTTGGAAAATACTGAAGCTATAGTCAGCACCATACCTGCCAAGCCAGGGTCTTACTTTAGTCCTGCTTAAGTAGATAGAATATAGGGTTTAGGGTTTGGGTAAAGTCCCCCTGAAGTAGATAGAATATGGAGTGTAAGAGGGCCCCATTCTAATATACCCCCCATATTCTATCTACCTAAGGGGGACTATATAATGTACTGTAGCCATGTCATGCCCTAAGGGATTTGGGGGTCTGTGGACATTAGGGATACTTGTTTTGGGGTCCCCGCAACGAGGATTAGAATATTTTGGGGTCTGTAGTGGGGTCCCCCCATTTTGGGAAACTACCTATTACTTAGGAGGACCCCCCAGCCTGTAATAGTGGCATACCAGGGATATAAGATGACCCTTACATAGTCCTTATTATCCCTTATAGCCACTATTAAAGGGTGGGGGGTCCTCCTAACCTATTACATAGAGTTGCGGTGTTATGGATTCACCCTAGCGAAGTAGCACACCTGCCTCGAGTGGAGCTGCTTCGCAAGGTCCCCACCTGTGCTGGGTGGCGGTGCTAGCCCGGTGCCCACTTTCAACAGGGTTTAGGGTTTGGGGTTTAGGGTTTTGGGGTTTCCATTTTATTGTATGTGAGAAGATGACAAATGGCAATTCCCTCAAACAGGAGGACCCCTGTATAGATCCCAAAATAGTACAATCCCTGTCCTAGGGACCCCCAAAAAGAGGTAGCCCCAATTTTGGGAAAGTCCCAACTATTCTGTGAGTATGGTCGTTTCCGCGGGGCTCGAGTCATCCCACAAAGATGTTTGGGTTTAGGGTTTGAGGTTGTGTCCATTTTCCAGTCGAATGCTGGGAATGGAACGTGGAGACTCTTTCTAGTTAAGAAGTTTCCGTCACTTGCCGTAGTTCATGGAAAGGAAATTGGAAACTACGGAGGTTTAGAGTTTAGAGTTTAGGCCTCTCCTACATACCGCTGTATAACCTTAATTTTGGGGCTATATAATCCCTGTACAATAAACCCTCAACCCTTAAACCCTAAACCTTAAACCCATAGGGCTCCATTATTGTAGGGACTGGCCTAAGGTTAGAAGTGTGGGCCCCTAATATGGGCCCTTAGGCCTTTAAGGGGGGTTCTAGGGACCCTTAAGGGTACATATAGGGTATATAGTAGGTATGTAAGGATCTCAGGGTTAAGGGCCCATACTAGGGGCTCATGGTTTCAATCTTAGAGCTGGGAAGTTTTGAAACCGAGGGCCTGTGATGTGCTACCCGGACCCGCACTCGCTCGCAGGGCCCAACGGCGGTATCCCCTTCCGTCAGCAGCTTGGGAGAAGGGGAGGGGGTTAGGGTTGAGGGTTAAGGGTTTGAGGGTTTAGGGTGTCATGATGTCATGCTGGCTTTAGGGTCTATAGTCCCTTGAGTAGATAGAATCTGAAAGTACCCACGATCATCGCACCCCATATTCTATCTATTTATGGGGGACTATAGGCTTTAGGGACCTGGGGGGGATGTTTCGGCAACCATGACCACATGAGCCTCAGTGGACATGGTATAGGGTTTAAGGTTTAACCCTAAACCCTAAACCCATCTAATGAATCAGAGACTCAAGCACACCCCCAGCTCATCTGGCTTGCGCCCTGTGTGAGGATGCTATGGAATGGTGGGGGGGCCCAGTTTATTCGTGGCTTGTTTGGGATTTTGGGGTTTAGGGTTGTTGGGGTTATATGGGGGGTAATGAAAAAGAAAATGGAAACTACTATAGTATAGGGTTTAAGGTTATTGGGATTATTGAGGTTATATGGGGGTAATGGAAAAGAAAATGGAAACTACTACAGTAAAATAGGGAGTATATTGCACATCTGAGGGACCTGCCCACCAAGGGAGCTGCACAGCCTGCTGGCCCCTTTGTTGGGTGCGTTTGTGATACGTGTAAAGGTTTTCTTGTAGCCTAAACCGTAAACCTTCAACCCTAAACCCTAAACCCGTCATGCGAGACTCTTCCCTGCACAAGCCGTGCAAGGCACTTTTCACTTGTCAGGATGAGGGGCACTGATGTTGAGAAACTTCAAGCAACTAGGGGGTATGTGTGAAAACATAGCGGGGTTCCTTCATGTGCATTTAAGAAGAATGTTTGTGCCGTCGCGCGCTTTCAGCATTATTGAAACCACATTGCGTGGCTCAACGCACGCGCAAGGCAATGCTGCAAGATTCCGCCGAGGCCGTGAGAGGCAAGCGATCACAATGATGGCAGCCGTAGAGTCGAGAATCTTTGCATGCTCCTCACTTTTAGGACGAGTGCTGTACACCAACTGTTTTCCCCAGTTTCCATGTCAGCTTCCTTGTCATTTTCCATCTGATTCTCCAGTTGTAATTACTACGGGGGTTGACTGAAGTCAGCTGTACTATATGGAGGGTCCCTATAATCAGGATTACAGTATATGTGGGTCTATGGGAAACTACTGTACCTAAGAGCTTAAACCCTTTGGGAGGTATCAATCTTCCACGAGCTACGCGGCCTTCACCTTTCGCCAATGCAGATCCCCTGCAAGGCGAGATGAGCTCAAACGCCTTCATGAGCCCCAAACCCCCGTAGAAACTTACCCCCAAATGCATGATAGGGCTTAGGGCTTAGGGCCTAATAGCATGTGAGTGCGAGCTTCAAGGGTGCATAATGGTACGAGGTTGAAGATATTTCTTCTTAGACGGCTTGCGGAATAGAACTGTTAGACCCTGCCTAGGGCCTAACCCTAAACCCTAAACCTCTCAAACACGGTTTAGGTTTTAGGGTTTAGACCCAGCCCTGATGCAGACAGTGTCTAGGGACTTTAGGAG